GAGAAATAAGCCAATAAGGCGCGAGATAACTAAACTGCAAACAGCAATGGTAATTAGTTTGTGGTTTTGAGGTTTGCTTGTGTATCCTGAACTTTATTGTGATTGGCCAGTACACAATCAACATTCCTGAAAATTTTCAGGTGTTCACGGTTTTCTGAGTTTGACAGTAAGGTAAAGAGAAAGTAAGCAAGAGAGATTCATCAGTTTTCAAATAAATATGGAGCAATTAACTTATAACTGCAAAAATTACAATCTTACAAAGAAAAACATATGAAAAAGATGCATTTGAAACTCTATGGAGGAAAGGAAAACAAAACATTAGCTAGCTGTTTTTATAGGCAGGATTACAAAAAAATTGGTTCTGCTTTCTTCATTTTAAGAATAATTTAATCTATTTCATAATAAGTATCGCCAGTCTCCAATAAATCAAGCAATGATGCACGAATATTAAATTTGAATTTTTGTTTTGAAAGTGTGTGCAACTTGGTTGGTATCTCATTCCATAGTTTGGCACCAAGTCTCGAGAAAGAGGTTTTTTTTATTTCAAGATTTGATTGAATCCAATTCCAAACCCAATTTGATTGTAGTTGATAACTTACTTATGATGAAGCCCATATATATATAGCAGCTGTTGATTAAGTAATGTTTAATAAATGAGCGCCACAAGGCGAAGCCGAGTGGCTTTATACTCATGAAGAAAGAAACATGAAGCAGAGTTTTTTTTAAACCTAAAATGAACAACCCAATGGTTATAGGACAGGCAAGACTCTAACCTGAACTTCCCCTAAAAGTAAAATGCAATAACCATACCGCACAATCAACCTCATTACAACGACTTATTGCAACTATTGTAACATGTACCTTTCAACTTGAATCTGTGCGTTGAAAAGACTGGACTGCCATCTTGCTGTTATTTGCTCAGTGTCTTTCTTACTTGGTGAACCAGCCACTGTTGCAAACATCATCAAAACTTTTCCCTTCTTAGCCAACTTCATCAGGGCCATTGGATCATCTTTGAACTGGGTAGGATCAAAAGCTGGTCCTGGTGATGCAGGTTTACGAGGATCAAAGTCATCATAGCGGTCATCTTCATCAATATCTTCATCATTTTCCTGAAAAATTTAAAGTATAAGTTTACTTATACAGGTTCATAAGGGAGATTATTTCTGGCTCAGCGGTGATAACTTCAGCAGATGATATGCAATTTGGAGACTACAGGTATTCAAAGCTACATAAAAACTACATGGACAGGAAAGAAGCCGAAAGAAGGATTTGAGGTCACACCTTGTTGGAATTGATCTTGGGACCTCCTTCACAGAAGGCCATGCACTAGCCAACTACACTAAAAAAATCCTTAATTCCTCCCCTGAGGAAGGGTTAGATTTCAGCCTGAGACAAAAAAAGGTGAAAAGTATCTTATATCTGGGCAATCGAGACAACCTATACAGGAAACCAGGAAATTTGCCCTGTATCAAGAAATCATAAATTGAAATAACTGTTAGTTTACCATTCTCATGTCAATGAATATGCTGCTTATTGTCTCATGTGTTTAATAAAGACACAGAAAAAAGTTTTGTCCCAGGCAAAAAGCAGCAGGGTGCAAAAGTCGTTACTGTAAACAACAACACCAACAGCCAAGAGGGAGGTGGGGTGGGGGAAAAAACTACCTCCAGGTTTAGAGGCTTGCAATATATCTCTTTCAAAAATAATTTATGCCCTTAATCTTGGCTAAAGAGGAATTTAAGAAAGGAGACAGTCCATAGTGATTCAGCATATAATTAAGCAACTAGCTTTTAAAAACTGGGTTAAGTAAAACACACAAATGCAGAATTCTTCATCATAATATTATGAATAAGATTAGTAATAAACTATTGTTTATGTTGTTGTTGATTGACAAGCAAGTCAACAAAACTTAAACCCCTGATTTACCTAATTATGCACAATAATCAGCAGTTGTAGTTTGTGATTTATATTCGTGGAAAAAAAGATTGTTCACAAAATGCGTCTTAAATTGTCGGCTGTATTCAGAAGTAAAAGGTGTCTAGACCTTAAGGACTACGGAGTTGAACAAGCATAGTGGCATGCAACCACCTGTAGACCTTGTCAACATGCAAACAAAAAATAATCTGCATCGTCCACGCATCCAGCAAAAGAGAATGTACATCAACATGCATTTGGTCAAATAAGCAAAGAATAAGTGAGCAATAAAATGTTAAGCTTAAGAACGCCGTGATGTGCTTACATCCCATTGGTCGAGGAGTTTGTGCATGTCTGCTTCAGAATAATCCATCACATTTTTTCCAATTTTAGAGCTTTTCTCCTTTTTCTTCTTTGGCTCCGATTTCTTTTTTTCCCCATCACAACTGTCTTGCAGAATCACGATTAAAAATAGCACCAAAAATAATAAATTAAACTTCGAACAATACTTTGCTGCCATTTTCCGGATTCTGGAACAAAAAATTAATAATGACTGATCGACAGAGTACTGCTGTCAAGAAAGATTGCGGTCTCAGATTTATTTTCCTTCGTGCGTAGCTCACTTTTGGCAGGACAAGGGCATTTCAACTAGAAGCATTGAAGTAAAGAGAAACAACGGGCATCTAATGGGCTTTCTGGTTCCCTTCAGATAATACTGATTTTGGCTGATATTAAAAAAGTTTCCGTTTGACGTTTGCGCGCCATATTAGATTTGTATACAAACCGGAAGTTACCGGTTGGAATCACGGGATAGACCACTGCCTGACTGATCCAGCTATTTATAAGCTTCAAATCAGCTGTATGGTGGCCAGCAGAGTCGAACTATGCAATGGAAGCCAGTAAACCAAAGAGAAAACACAAGAAAAAGCTCAAAGAGAAATCAACGAAAACTACAGAAAAAGATGAAGTAACTGAAGACTCAAAAGGTTTGAATGATTCCATTCGCGACTTGTTATCGGGTGTATAAACTGATGAACCTACATGCATTGATAACGTAATTTTTGTTTGATTTAGCTGAGTTTGCTATTTTCTTGATTTGATAGGTGATACCTGTAATGATTTAACAAAAACAGAAGCGACCACTGCTGGAGAATCAAGCGGCACTGCTTGTGTAAGTGAAACTTTAGCCGACGATTCCGCCAAATCGAACTTGCCTGGCTTAATTGCTGAAAATGACAGTGTTATTGAAAGTTCAAAGAACGAAATAGATATTCAACGAAGTGACGAAAATTCTACGTCAAACGTACAAGGAAGAAGTGATTTAACCGAAGATGCAGAGAAACGAGAAAACAAATTATCTTTTCATCCACAAGTTGAAGTAGAATTGGATAGAAACAGTACAAAATCGGAGAATAGTGGGGAGGATCTGCACAGGGACACTTCAGGAAATTTAAATACAATACAGCTTGATAGCCCCACAGAGGGAAAGAATGATGATGATTCTGATTTTAAAAGTGATTCTAATAAAACTGAAATTCCACATGTGGATGAAATTCAAACTATTGATCAAAACAAGACATCTGATGTTTCTGCTAATGCAATGAAGACAGAAAATGGTGATCCACGTTCAGTCACTGACATCCCCAAAGAACCTAGGATGGTACAACATGTGTCAAAAAACACAATTGCAAGTGCTTCAGGGGAAAATGTAGCAACTGAAGAAGATGTTAAAAATGTACCTTCACAAGTGATTTCCGACAGACAAGTGAAAGCCTCTGAAATGTATCCAAAACTGGACTCTTTAGCAAGTGAAGCAGGTATTTATCCACCCCTTTAAGGTTATGTTCACACTAGCTACACTGAACAGCTATTGCACCAGCACAAAAATCATTCCCGATAGGGCTTCTGTTCACACATAATGCTGAGTTTGGCACAATTTCTGTAGTAAATGGAGTGAAGCTACACGACACCAATCTGGAAAGTGGAGCTTATCACAATGGATAGGTTCTGGGCCAAACTGTGGTGTAGTATGAACAGGTGTCTTGACTGTAGCGGAAGTGAATAACTGGGAAAGAGGGCTGAAATTCACTGAGCTAATGTAAATAATTGGGATTTAGAGAACAAAACCCTCTCGTTCAACCGCTCTGGAACAATGTTCAATGTCTGTGAATGACTTGTTCCTCTTCTGTGCCGTTGCTGTTCAAAGTATACTGGATAGCTTTTCGTGTTGACACGAAAAGCTATTCAGTAGAGTGTGAACATAGCCTAATATAACCATTTTTGTTTGCTGTGGCAAATAAATTGTATGTGGAAAAATTTAAAGGAAATATAAGAGGCTTAATTGGAATTTTCCAGAAGGTCATGGGGGTCTTAAAAAATTTTGCTTTTATGGAGGATATACGGATATTCTCTGGAGCTATACCTTCACCTTCTTTAACCTTCCTGCAGTGGTATACCTGCCAAAAGTCACGCCTGTGGATCGAAAAATTCCATGCCACGCCTACTCATGCCTGTTTTCCAATTTCTCTTGTCGGATAGAAAAGGTTGAGCCATTACAGTATCAACTGGCACATTTTGAAAAAATACATTAATTTTTTAAAGAAACTGGAATCAGTGAGAGAAAGGCACTTGAGACGGGGTCGTTTTCCTGTGTGTTCTCGTGTTTGTGTCAGACGGAACCCTTTGGAACGTCTTCAGAAGTCTTCGGACATCTTCCTTTTTTATCAGACCCCTATGAAAAATCCTGGCACTCTCAGGATACAGGATAAAGATGTCACTTCTTTAAATTGAAAATATAGTTGGCAGGTATACAATGGCCACCTTTCAATCCCTTTTTTATCAAGGTGGCCATCAAATGCTAGCGGAACCCAAAATAGAGGCTGGGCGGAGATGGGTGGGGTGGGGAGAGATCGGAATAGGATGATGACTTACTGTCAACTCACTTATGTGCGTATTTACATATTGGTACTTCCATGTGATAATTTTTTGGTACAAGGGCATTTATACATGACTGTCAGGGACATAGGATCAACAATAACATGTACAGCCTTTAAGGATACAAACTCCTGGTACCGATGATGTCAGCAGTTACTTGAGCTGAAGAATTGTCTTTGCTCCACCTGGTAATTCTTTTATACTTAAACATTTTTTTATGTCTGCGTCATTAAGGACAGTACATAAATGAATTGGTACAGTTTTAGCTGAGTTACGTAACATATTTTGTTGTTCATTTTATTAATAGTGTCAAGCATAAGACAGTACAGAACTACTCTGGAGGCTTTTAGTGAGGATCATTTAAAAACTTTCTACTTCAACCCATTGCTTGAACAGATGGAAGGATTTGTGGAGCATTTCCTCAGGGTATGATTTGACGCACGTCAAATGTCATTTTACTCTTTATCATGTAACTTTTTCAAGTGGCATTACTCCAAGTTGCAAGCATGCTGGTTGCTTGCAAATTTAAAAATAATATTACAACAATAATCACAAATTCAAAAGTAGGTTGAGTTTGATTGTCCGGGTGAACGTAGTCCTGAATAAGACTGTTGTTGTTGACAGTGACTGACGTTTCGACAACCTGTGTGGTAGTTATCTTCAGAGTCAAAGTGAGGTGTATCACTTCAGTTGATGGTGTTATACTCTGGTTATTGATCTGATTGGTCAATTACGTTGCGATGGTTTTGGTCGTCTGTCAGTAAAGCCATGATATTATTGGCTATGAAGACTCATAATCAGTAATTGATGCGTTTTGATCCGTCTGTTGTCACGGTTAAACAGTCGTCTATTGTTAGTCAAATTGTCAGTTCTCCATAGTTAGTCTCATAGTTAGTTTTGCTTGATCTCGTCAATAATCACAAATTGCTTCAAAATGTGCAAATTTATTACCTGTTTGTTAAACCTTTCTATTTACGATATTTTTACAAGAGATGGTGTCATAATGAGAATCACAAGAGTGCTTATGACCTGGTAAAATTTTAAAATTCAGAGTTCCAAGCCTAGTCATAAGCGCATGGAATCTGAGTCACAGGATCAGAATGTTTTCCATTTTTTCCAAGAGTCCAGGGGGGGGAGGGGATCTTTCAGGGGCTTAACAAAGGTTTATATCAATCAACCAACAATGTATTTCACTACACTAGCCACACACAACAAAAGCTGATTTCTGGGTAGGGTGTGGGTAGATTTCAGAGAATAATATTGATTACGTAAAAATGTACATCATATAGCTAGTTTTACAATGTATGTTGGTGGGAGTTTATGTTTAATGCATTTAATATATATGTCATTCTAGTGGGACAAAATTGCTGGAGTGTAATTGCCATTTTGTTTTCAGATAAGTAAACAAGATGATCATGAGTTCTATGAGCTAGTCAGTGCATATTTCAGAGGAAGAAATGCCTTGGCTGTGGCCATTAAAGAATATGAGGTTGGTGGTTAACCCTTTCAATGTTAACATAAAAATTCAATTTCTCAGTTTGTTATCTCCAGTCTATACATTTCCCAGTAAGTATAGAATTTAAGTGAAGGGAAGTAATCAAAGTGTTAAATTATTTATCTTGTGTTACAGTACATGTATCATGTCCTTAATAATATTTTTACCGCTCTGTTTAAAATAAGGCATTGATGATGTCTAACAAGGATAAATTTGATGTTGATCACTCTTTTAGGGCAGTTTTAACTGATTACCAAAACCATAAATCTTATTGCTCAGAGTGAATGTGTTCTAACAGCAGTTAACTTCCTCCTCAGCTGATTCATGATTTCAAAATACTTGTGTGTTGGTATGTTTTAGCAAACTAAATTTTTTAATTTATCAAATATGAGTCCGCACAGAAAAGTCCTCCACAGGATTTTTTTCCATTTTTTGTGATAACAAGTTATGAAAGTATTGGAAAAAGCATGCTTGAGGGAAGTTCAATACAGATTAGACTGGACAATTGCTGCTCTGACTACTTATTATATTATCTTGTTTGTCATAGATTTTGCTTGCTGAGTGTGAGAAGAAAAAAGACCAGTTATGGATTACTAAGGATTTTTCAGTAGCAGCTCAGGTAGGGAAAGAACTGTTTTGTTCATTCTAGATGGCTTACCCTTTTTATGATGCAACAACTGCATTTTATTTTCATGAGTTTCTTTTTGTCCTGTCTTGGAAAAAGTATGTCTTTTAACTTTTGGGGTGATTATTCAATGACATTTTTGTTTGTTTTATTCTTTTAATAATATAATGTCTCCCTTGCAAATTAGCAGATATTCTTATTTTGTGTTCACTGCAGGGTGTATTGAATTTAGTAACTTAATGAATTTATTTCAGATTTAAGTCACTATTAAAATTTAATAGTAACAGTTAATGTTACTTTCAGGGAAAATGTCTGGATCAAGTGAATGTGACACATAACCATACTTACCAGCAAGTTGAGATGAACCAAAGCATCCCAAAAGAGATTGATAACATTTTAGACAAACTACACAAGGCTTTACATGAGGTAACAGTGACAAAAACACACCTGTACATGTGATAACATA